ACTCCGGGCTGGAATGACCCTGGGGGGATTCACTCCGGGCTGGAATGACCCTGGGGGGATTCACTCCGGGCTGGAATGACCCTGGGGGGATTCACTCCGGGTTTCCTGCCCCCTTCCCACAGCCGTGGATAACGGATGCGTCGCCTACGCCCTGAGGACGGGATTCAACACCTCCCAGGTGAGCTGGGAATGGGAATTCCAGGTTCGGTTGGAAGAGGAACTTGTTTGGAGTGAGGTTGGGAAGAGGAAGGAACGAGACTTGGAATGGGAATAAAGTTGGGAAGAGGAAGGAATGAGGTTTGGGAGAGGAAGAAAGGGTGGGGAGAGAAATAAATAAGGTTTGGGTGAGGGATAATTAAAGGTGGGAAGAGAAAGGAACGAGGTTGGGAAGAGGAATAAATAAGGATTGGGAAGAGGATTAAATCAGGCTGGGAAGAGGAAGGAATAAGATTGGGAAGAGGAAGCCCCAGGATTTCCAGGCTCTGGGAACAAAACCCCGGAGCCGGGATTTGAATTCCGGGGCCGTTTTTAAGGAATTCTGTGGGATCCCTTTGAAGCCCTGGCACTGAAGGCTCTTGTTCCCAGGGAAAGCTGCTCCGGACGATCCTGTTTGGAGTGAAGAGGGTGACGGCCAATAACCTGGAGACCTTCATCTTCATCCTCTTCCTCCTCGTCTTCGCCATCGCCGCCGCCGCCTACGTCTGGATCGAGGGTGGGAATGTGCTGGGAATGTGCTGGGAAGGCTCCCCAGGGCCTTGGGATTGTCCCCCCTCCTGGTGGAATTCCCAAAGGGTCAGGGAAGGTGGGGGGGGGCTTGTCCTGAAGGTGTGGGAAGGAGGAGTCCCGGAGTTTGTGGGAAGGACAAATCCCAAAGTTTGTGGGAAGGACAAATGACATTCCCAAAGTTTTTAGGAAGGACAGGACAGGGACTTGTCCCAGAGTTTTTGGGAAGGCCAGGTGCCAATCCTGGGGAATTACTCCTGTATCCACCTTCTCTGGAGCCCGCTCTGGATCCCAGGATCCTTCCCAGGCGGGATCCGCTCCCTGTTCCTCCGGGATGTGGATCTGAGCCGATCCCATCCCGAGCTGATCCGATCCCATTCCAAGCTGAGCTGATCCGATCCCATTCCAAGCTGAGCTGATCCGATCCCATTCCAAGCTGAGCTGGTCTGACCCCATTCCAAGCTGAGCTGATCCGATCCCATTCCAAGCTGAGCTGATCCGATCCCATCCCACAGGCACAAAGGATCCGCGGCGGAACCACTACCGGCTGTTCCTGGAGTGTGCCCTGATCCTGACGTCCGTGGTGCCCCCGGAGCTGCCCATCGAGCTCTCCCTGGCCGTGAACACCTCCCTCATCGCCCTGGCCAAGCTCTGTGAGTCCCCATTCCCAACATTCCCGTCCCAGCATTCCAGGACTCTGCTCCGGGCACAGGCTGGGAGAGCTGGGAATGTTCCCCTGGAGCAGGGAGGGATCCAGGGAGAGCTTCCAGCACATTCCAGGGGCTCCAGGAGAGCGGGAGAGGGACTGGGGAGAAGGGCTGGAGGGATGGGACACAGGGAATGGCTTCCCCCTGGAAAAGGGGGATTGAGGTGGAATTGGGGAAGGAATCCTTGGCTGGGAGGGCGGGGAGGGAATGGGATGGAATTCCCGGAGAAGCTGTGGCTGCCCCATCCCGGGAAGTGTCCAAGGCCAGGCTGGATCCACCTGGGCCCTGGAAGGTGTCCCTGCCTTTGGAATTCACTGGGATAATGGGGTGGATTTTAAAGTCCCTTCCCAGCCAACCCATTCCATGATTCCAGGATTCTTGTATAATTAGGATGAAATTCCTAATGAAATTCCCTTCCTTTTCCTTCTCTTCCTTGTCTTCCCTTTTCCTCCTCCTTCCCTTCCATATTCCTTCCATTCCTATGGAGCAGGAATTTCAGTAGGAATTCCTGTGGAACAGGAATCTCCATTGGCATGAAATTCCTATGGAATTAGGATAAAATTCCAATGATGTTTTCTTCCTTCTCCTTCCTTTCCTTCTCCTTCCCTTCCTTTCTGTTCCCCTCCTTCCTCTTTCCATCCCTGTGGAATAGGAATTCCAACAGGAATCCCTATGGTTTGGGAATTCCCATCCGGATAAAACCTTTGGGACTCTTCCCTGTCTCCCAACCCCCCCAGTTTGGATCCACCATCCGGATCCTTGCGTTGCCAATCCCACTGCTGGGCTGCAATCCCGGCGGATTCCCACCCAAATTCCCTGTTTTCCCTCTCCAGACGTTTACTGCACGGAGCCTTGGGCTGGATTCCCACCCAAATTCCCTGTTTTCCCTCTCCAGACGTTTACTGCACGGAGCCTTTCCGGATCCCCTTTGCTGGGAAAGTCCAAGTTTGTTGCTTCGACAAAACCGGGACCTTGACCAGCGACCACCTGGTGGTGCGGGGGGTGGCCGGGCTCAGGTGGGTCCTGGGAGCCCCCATTCCCGGATTTCCGCGTGGGAATTCCTCGGGAACGTCCCGGCGGGGCAGGGGGAGATCCCTGGGGATTCAGGGAGCGGGGATCTGGTGGGAATTCCCCGGGATTCTGAGGCTACCGAGTTCTTCCCTGCGGCACATCCCGCCCTTCCCGTCCTGCTGCCGAAATTCCCAGTGCTTGGAGCCTCCCAGATCCTTTGGATCTGCCCTTTGATGTGCCAGTTCCCCAAGTTTCCATGGCAGAACCAGCCAAAATCCTGGGATTTGGCCCGAATTCCGACTGAACCAGCCCCGGCGTCCCGTGGCCTTTGCTCCCCGCTGGGTGGGAGCAGGAATTCCGAGCCGGGAATCGTTCCAGGGTGTCCCAGAGCGGGTCTGTTGCCCCGTTATTCCGTAGGGATGGGAAGGAGGTGACTCCCGTGTCCGACATTCCCGTGGAGACCCACCGGGCCATCGCCACCTGCCACTCCCTGGTGCAGCTGGAGGACGGGACACTGGTGGGAGACCCTCTGGAAAAGGCCATGCTCCTGGCCGTGGACTGGACCCTGACCAAAGGTAAACCCCCATTCCAGGGAAATCCGAGCCCGGGGAGTCTGGGATGGGCTGGCTGGGAAGGGACCTTAAGGATCGTCCCGATCCAAGGTCAGGGACACATCCCATGGCCTGAATTCCACCCAAATCCCACTGAGTCCCCCTGAATTCCACCTGAATTCCCCTGAATTCCATCTGAATTCCACCTGAATTCCCCCCAAATTCCCCTGAATTCCATCTGAATTCCCCTGAATTCTGCCTGAATTCCACCCGAATTCCCCTGAATCCCCTCTGAATTCCACTGGAACTATCCTGAATTCCCCTGAATTCCACCTGAATTCCACCTGAATTCCACCCGAATTGTTCTGAATCCTGCCTGAATTCCACCCAAACTGCCATGAATTCCACATGAATTATCCTGAATTCCCCCAAACTGTCTTGAATTCCACCTGAATTACCCCGAGTTCCACCTGAATTCCCCCAATTTGCTCTGAATTCCGGAATTATCCTGAATTTTGCTCAAATTCCTCCCAAACTCCCCCAGATCCCGCCCTCCTTCCCCCCCGGGGTGGGACCTTTTATTTTTGCTTGGGTTTTTTGTTTTTTTTTTATAATTCCCTTTTTTATTCCTCCCCCCCCTCCACAAAAAAAACCCCTTTCAGGATTTCCCGATCTCTTTGTTTCCAGATGAGAAAGTTTTCCCAAGGAGTCTAAAAACTCCGGGGATGAAAATTCACCAGCGCTTTCATTTCTCCAGTGCCCTGAAGCGGATGTCGGTCCTGGCCTCCTACGAGCGCGGCCCCGGCGCCCAACTCGCCTTCGTCGCCGCCGTCAAGGGCGCGCCCGAGACCCTGCGGCCCATGGTGAGGCATTCCCGGGAAAAACACACGGGAATTCCACCCCCACCGGGGCGGGGGGGCGAGGGAGGAGGGCGGAGGGGGCGGGAGAGGAGATGGAGTCGGAATTCCGAGGGATCGAGGGTTGTGTGGGAAGGGAGGGACATGCGGGGTGGGAACAGAGGGTTTGGGGTGGGCGGGGGATCATCCCAAAATCTGTGGGATGGGCAGGGATTCATCCCAGAGTTTGTGGGATGGGCAGGGGATCATCCCAGAGTTTGTGGGATGGGCAGGGGATCATCCCGGAGTTTGTGGGATGGGCAGGGTGGGGAACTTGTCCCAAATTTTGTGGGAAGGAAAGGATGAGGACTTGTCCCAAATTTTGTGGGAAAGACAAGTGACTTGTCCCAAAGTTTTTGGGAAGGACAGGTGACTAATCCCAGAGTTTTTGGGAAGGACAGGATGAGGGATTTATCCCAGAGTTTGTGGGAAGGACAGGTGACGATCCCAGAGTCTGTTTTCTCCTGTTTTCCCCCCTTTTTCCACAAAAAGCTCAAATCTGCTCCTGGGTTCCCTCGGAAACTCCCTGAATCCCCCTTTTTCCCTGTTTTTCCCTCCTTTTTCCCAGTTATCCCAATGTCCCAGCAACTACCACTCCGTGCACCGGGAGATCTCCCACGAGGGTGCTCGGGTCCTGGCCCTGGGCTACAAGGAGCTGGGACACCTCACCCACCAGCAGGTACCTGGATCCTTCCCAGCCTTCACATCCAGGGAAATGGGGTTGCTGGGAGCAGGGCTGGGAAGAGAGGGACTTTTTCTGGGATGTGGGCACCCAAATCTGCTGATAAAATCGGGATTTTCTGGGAAAACCACCCCCCCAGCTGTGAGTTTTGGGGTGTTGTGGATCCGTGTTCCCTGCGGTATTCCCGGTTTCCTGCTCATGAAGCAGGATCAGGTCTTTCCTTGGAACACCTGGAGAGGTTTGGCATGGAATTCCTTGGCCGAGAGCCTGGTTTTAATTGGGAATGAGGAGCTTCTTGTGCCAAAAAAAGCCTTTTTTGAGCAGCTGGAGCCATTCCGGGGGTTCTCTGGCGTTCCCAGGGGGTCGTTTAACTTCAGGGAATCACCTGTTGGAAAAGCCAGGTGCTGTTCCCAGGTGTTCCAAATGGTTCTTCCCTTGGCAGGTGCGGGAGATGAAGAGGGAGACCTTGGAATGTGACCTAAGGTTTGTGGGATTCATCGTGGTCTCGTGTCCCCTCAAAGCCGACTCCAAATCCGTCATCAGGGAGATCCAGAACGCTTCCCACCACGTAAGGACGGGCAGAATTCCAGGGAAAAGGGGCTTGGTCGGGTGGGAAAAGCCCTGGGAGGTCGTGGAGCCCAACCATTCCATGGGCACCACTGAACCCTGTCCCAGGTGCCACTTCCAGGGAATTGGGAGCCCCTGGAGTGAGGGAAAAGGGGGGAAATGGAGGGAAAAGGGGGAAAAGAGGGAAATGCTGTGGATGTGGGGTTGGTTTTGGGGTGGGATAATGGGACAAGGCCCTTCCCTGGGGGGCTGCACCTTGGGGGGGTTGGGACCTGCACCCGCTCCAGGCAGGAATTTTGTTGGTGCCTCTGGAATTCCCAGAATTCCCTCTGCCATGTCCCTCAGGTGGTGATGATCACGGGGGACAACCCCCTGACTGCCTGCCACGTGGCCAGGGAGCTGCACTTCCTGCAGAAGGAAAAGACCCTCATCCTGCAGCCTCCAGCTTCCAAAGGTGCCTGGAACGGGATTTGGGATGGGCTGGGGGGAACGGGCCGAAATGACTCCAAAACAGGGTCAAAATAACTCCAAAATCTGGCCAAAATATCTCCAAAATAGGGTCAGAATAACTCCAAAATCAGGCCAAAATATCTTCAATATAAGGCCAAACTAATTCCAAAGTGAGGCCCAAATATCTCCAAAATAAAGCCCAAATAACACCAAAATAGGGGCAAAACCCACAGAAAACCCCACACTAAAGACACGCTAAAAAACCCCTGAATGCACCAAAATAAGCCCCAAAAGCCCCCAAAATAAGCCCCAAAAG